CCTCCAAATGTTGTGGATAGCTGAGCAATTACCAATGTCAGATAATACAGCCAGAAAGAAATGATTGGAGTGAACTTGAGACAATCTGCTTGAGACAGAATTCCTGGTGATGTGCTGCTTGAGGCAATCTGCTTTCGACCAATGGTACTCAAGATGATCTTGCACCGCTCAGAGAGAAAAAAAAATGAACATATGGCTGGTGGTTACAGAGTCTAAAGGGGTGCACAATCTGGGACCTGGGATGAACCATGATACACCTTTCTTCTGCTTATCACTTATCAGTACAAGTTCCATTTCTCGAGCCGATGTTGAGATCAACATCACATGAAACGTTTGATTCCTTGAAATTGTTAGGAGCTAAAGTTAAATGATAAATATAGTTCCAAATGAAGCAACACGAAAGCAGAATTATAATATGTTTCAATACTTAGCCAGAGTTATAATGCAATCTTTCAGTTTAACTAGTGCTCTGAACCCTTGTATACAAAATCGGCTACAACTTGCTAATCAGCAAGGAGGATGATCTGTCTCATTTCATCGTCAGCTAAAACAAAATATAGAAACAGGAAACCCATGTATATTCGCTAAATTCTAGTATTAAGAAGATAGGTGATCTCTGAGAAAGAAGATCTGATAAATGGACAAGTTGATTCTTCAATTAAATAAAAAGAGACAAGAGGCAGGTTGAACTGCTAACAAGCATTGAGTACTAAGAAGGCAACTCTTGCTAAGGGGGGAAAAGTACATTCTTCAGTTTAAGAAAACAGAGATACGAGTCTGAGCAATTGACAGACATTTCAAACGCTGGCCCAAAGGACTTGTATGCATCAACATCAACACTGATATTCTGGGTGTTACTCTTGTACTATATACCATCGAAGTGTAAACTGTAACCCCACAAACGCACACAATTCACCAGTATGTACATTCATCACAGGAAAATAAACTCACACAGACGCGCATACTGCAAAAAACTGAATGTGGGTAGCTGAGCAATCACCAATGGCACATAATACATCCAGAAGCAAACAATTGAACCCCACAAAAAATAGTAATTGGAGGGAGCTTGGCACAATCTGCTTGGCACACAATTCCTCGTGATCTCCTGCTTGAGGCAATCTGCTTTCAACCAATGGTACTCATGAATCATGATGGACTTGCACTGCTTACAGATAAAAATGAACATGGCTCGCAGTCCAACGGGGTGCACAATCTTTGACCTGAGCCAGACCATGATAAACCGTTCTTTGGTTTATCAGTACATGTTTTCTCAAGCCGATGTTAAGATTGAACGTCACATGAAGTGTCGATTACTTGAAATGGATAGCAGCTAAAGTGAAATGATAAATATAGTTCCAAAAGATGAAACGAACTGACCCTCAATACTGCAGCTGACGTGGATACGGAGTGAGGCCATAAGAAGCACCACCACAGCCAACAACCCTCAGATGAAAGGATATGTGTATCCACCACATTATCATCTGATGAAAGGCGAGCCGTTCACAACATAACCCTCCAGTGTCGGAAAGAAGGCATGTGAAACTAGACTTTGTTTGAGCCGAAGTCGAGTAGGACGGAGGCCTTTGCGATGGAAACTGGCAACCAACTGGCCTTCCATGCCAACCTGAAGTAGCCAATCATCAAACCGGAGCAGCACGAGCACATCACTGTCCCATGACGTGACAATCACCTCCCAATGATGGTCAAACTTTCCACATTGCAAGCTGATCTCCGCAACCGGAAATTCGACCCGGTACTTTAAGGCCCAGATCTCGGCTTCGTAGTCCTGCATCGCCCAGATTTCAACGCTTGTCCCTTCATAGTTGAGACTAAACATGCCAAGCATGTCACCCATCTCAAACAGGTCCTCGCAGCCAATTACAATCGGACATCGCATCAACCGGAACGACTCAGCAATGGTGTCAAATACCATTACAACGCGGTTCATGTACCAATGCAGGCTACCATGGAACAGGACAGATCCAGCTGAAATGTGTATCAATTCCTGTGTATCAGAGCACCCTATGTACCTTGGCAGCTGGCCGGAGCCTAAAGAGAAGACGTGGGCGCCATCTTGAGCGTCAGGCGCCATCGACCTCCGGAACGGGTGCAGCAGCAACCGGTACTCGCCGGTAGGGCCGTGCCGGTACATCCCCAAGGGCATAAAGCCATTAAGCTGCTGGAGGGGAGCATACTGACGAGTTGCCGGGTTGTAGACGGAGTGCGTGCTGTAGAGGGAGAGGAGGAGGAGCCCATCGCAGGAGTCGTGGAGCACGAGGCCGTGGCCGTAAACGCTGCGAATGCCAGGTCGCGCGCTGTACTGGAGCTGGTCGGCGGCGTCGGCCCCTGCTACGTTGTCCAACGGAATGATGTCTAGGGAATCAACGACGTCGCCGGCGCAGTTGTAGCCGTGGAGGAGGGGGACGGTGGGCTGGCGGGCGTGGTGGGCGAGGAGGAAGTCGCGGGTGGAGGTGGCAAGGCGCCAGGCGCGGCGGACGGCGCGGCAGCGGAGGAGGGCTTTGGGGGGCAGGCGGACGAGGATCTCCCAGACCACGAACTCATCCGGGAGGCCAGGGAGGAGATGCGTCGCTGCTGCTCGTGCGGCCGCCGGCTGGGAGCTCATCCTGCTCTGCTTGTGTGTGTGTGTGTGTGTGTGTGGTAGTGACGGCGGCGGCGGCGGCGGCGGCGGAGTGGTAGGTTTTCCTATCTCGTGGAAACGAACAGAAATGCATTTGGGCTGGGCTTAGCGTACCTCGTTGAGATGAAACCGGCTGGGCCGGGCTCAGGTTCCTTTGCAAACTCTAAATTTACCCAGAAACCTCTATGCTCGAAAAAAAAACCCTTCCTCTCACCGAGGGGTTGTCAAACTTATCTTGCCAATTCTGAAATTTAAATCCTTAAACTGAAACGTGATATCAACCATCGATTGATGTCGATCCAACGGTCTACGTTGCAGAGATTCACGTCTACAATAACCCAACTCCAAAATATTGTATGCATGGTCCCTTCTGAAACAATCCATGAAAGCGGAGTTCATCCCCAGTAACCCGTGTCTGTGTGCATAGCCACCAAAAGACGGATGACGGGTAGCAGCATCCCCACCTCTTCCCCCCGCGCGTGCCACACCAACAACGACTCCACGTGTGTTGCTTCGCATTCGCCGCCCCAACCCTACACCATCGGCTACCGCAACCAGTGGGCAGTGGCTGATTTAGGATTTCACACAGGGGAGGGGGTAGACATTTCTTACAATGCCAAAATTAGCATGACATGTATAGAAGTTACCAAAAACACAATAGAAATAGGTCACACAAAGAAGCCTTGTGCCCCTTCCCTTAATTATGAGGCTTTGTTAGTGCCAGCTCACCACGGCTCAACTGCTATCTTAGGGTTGGATGATCGACACCTTCTTTCCCCTAGGGATTACCATCAACGATGGTATGCCTGGTAAGAACTAGCGAGCAATTTATGATACTGAATAAAAATATATCATGTTCTATATATTATTGTTTTCAAATGTTATAAGAGTTTAAAAAAATACTTTGTTCAAAAGTAATTAAAAAATATTTTTAACATATACTAAAAAGGTTCTTGTGTGTCAAATAAAATGTTCGTGCAAAAACCCAAAGATATGTCAATAGCTAAAATGTTTTGTACGTAGCTATTTGCTTTCTTTTGACAACTTTGTCTCTTAGAAAAATATTCATATGTTCAAAACATAATATTGGTATGTCAAATAAATTGATTGCATGACTTTAAATTTTTTTTTGCCAACTACAGAAAAAAAAACTCTGCACCATGTACGAAAAATGGCCATGTATGCCAAATAAAGTGTTCATGCAACTTCTAAAGTATGTGTTGACAGATATGAACAATATGTTATTTTACACCAACAAAAATGGTCTTGTGCATCTATAAAATGTTCATACGACTTCTAAAAATCATTCCAACACACAAAGTGATTTTTTTTCCTTCTTATTTCAAGTACTATGATAAACTATTGAACTTTACTTCTGAAAAAAGTGTGGCAATCATTCAAAACGTTATTTGTTGCATGCCAAATATGACAAAGTTATTTGTGTTAAAATTATTTCACTTTTCAAAAAATATATACACCTGTGAAAAAATATATTACTTGAACATTTGATAAAACAACATCAACAGACTATGTACTGGTAGAACCCATGAAAAATTAAAGCAATAAGTAGAAGGGGGAAAAGAATGAAAGAAAAAACAAAATAGAGAATAGGAGAAAATATAAACTGAAAAGAGGAGATATCACAAATACTGGAAGGAGCCAAACAAACAAGAAGCATCATCTGGATAGAAGTGGTTGGTCGCCTCCTGCTTATAGTTCTTCAAAGCTTAATACAAATTGGGACGAAAGCCTCCTGAAGGGAACTACGTGCGCAGTTTTGTACTCTGGTCACTACTCAGGGTAATACATAGGTGACACTCGATCGTCAGTGGTGTCTAAATAAGGAAAAGGCTACTAGTTTGATTATGCATAATTTGACTGTAATGGCTGACAAAATAATTATGAAAGAATTGCCCGTCAAGCTTGCTCATCTTCATGTATATTTGTTCTGCAGCAGGACAGGAGCTTCTCAACTCTAGCAAGAGCAGCTCGGCAGAAACAACTGTTGCTAATGATCTACAGAAACACACAATGCAGGACGTCCCTGTTCATCATATCCTAGCGGACCAAGCTTTTTGAAGGCAGAAACAATCTTCACGTTATTTCTTATTTACTCCTAACTCAGTTCAAACCATCATTGGAATGGCCTCGAGTAGAGGCAAGAGATCACCCAGCAATCAAACATCACAGGTGGTAAAGTTACAACAAACTTTTTTTCCACTTCTTTGTTACTTGCTCATTTATCTTACTTAGGTTTTATGACTTCTTTGCTGGATCTAAGGCACGGAGAGCAGATGGATGATGATGTCCAGAGGCACCAACGACCTACTACCAGGTCATCCAAGGCAAACTCGCCGAGACTTCAGATCTTCACCTCTCGCACGTCGTTTTGCCCGAAAGGGGTGCCACAGCCTGGGCACTTCCGGTGGCGTAGCTCAAGGTTCCTCTGGATACATGTTGAGCAGAATAGATGGAAGCATTTGGTGATCACAACCTGCCAGCAACCAAACAAGTAACAGAAAGCTAATCAGCATTCAGCAGTACATGGTCACAGGTTAAAGAGCATAACAGAGAAACAGGAACTTCGGTCACATGGAAATAAAAATAGCTGTATAACTCAGCTTCTACCATCTCGAGTCACATACAAATCTGCATCATCCAAAAATAAGGTTGTGCAATTCAATGAACAGCAAATTACCTCTTTGGGTCGGTCAAAGCACACGCCACACTTGAGAATAGCCTTGCATTCTTTTATCTCGTCCTGGAGCTTCTGGATAGTAGCCTCTTCGTTCTCGGAGGTCAGCTCCGCGACTTCATTCTTCACCTCCTCGTATTCTTCCTCGAGCTTTCTCTTCTCGCTTCTATAATAAGATAGCAAGAGAATGTAACAAGCCCGGGTGGCATTACAGCAAGGCCAACTTGGAACCAAAAATTAACACCACACCAGCAAGCCTAACCTCTCACGCTCCAGCTCCGTTCTGAGCTCAGCTATTTTTTTCTGGTTTTGCTCATATTCTTTCTCAGAGGATCCAACGGCGGACCGAAGCCACTTGAGCTCCTTCTCTGCTTCAGATACCTCCAGCAGAGTCTTTTCAATGGTAATTGCATGATGCCTGTTCTCTGAAGAAGTTTTTATAGCTTGTGCGACATAGGCTTTCATCTGTAAGGTTTATTCAAATAAAGACACTTCAAAACCAGCTCAGTGGTAAACACAGACACACACAGAATATATATATTAATACAATATAATATCTGCTTTGACGTGATTTTCAATTACTGTTGGCAGACAGCAAACTGAACCATAAATAACACACAGGGCATGAGTCAGAGATTACCTGCTCTTCACCACGGGAGAGTTTTTGTTTAGATGACTCCAGTGAACTGTTAACCTGATGGAGTTGCTTCTGTAACAAATGCTTTTCAGAGAGAAGGGAAGCAGAGGCTTGCTTTGTCTTCACACTATCTGATACTAGCTGTTAGATGAGAAACAAGTTACTGATGGAACCAATAAGAAAAACAAACAGTGTTTCTTCTGGCAATTCAACAGAGTATAAATGATGTGGGGTTAAAGTGCCTGGCTAATAAGGCGATAAGGCAAGGTGATGCACTGGACTACTGCCCCAGCATCTGAAGTGCTAGAGACGTGCTGCAAGGACACACTATATGAATCAACAAGTAGCAGCAACTGGAGTAACTTATAATAGATAGAGATGGAAAAGGGAAAAGAGAAATACACCAGGCCACCTAGCCCAACAGCCGCAGCTGTCACCATGCTTGTGCACATGGAGCATGTAACAGGATCCTAGTGGTGTGTTGCTATATTGAGGGGGGTGCCATGCCGCCAGCAAAGAGGAAACACCGGTGAGATAGAAGCACGGATTCCACCACATAAAGCCCAGCAAGCTGGCAGCGAAGAGCTGCCCTGGTATCAGATACGCACCTTTATGTTAAAATCATCTCTGTCGGCAACCTGTTGAAGAAGATGCTGGTTTTGTGTCTGCATGTCTTCATATGCTTGACCAATTGTCTGCAGTGACAGCATCATTTGCTTTCAAACACACTCGCACGCACACAAAAAAAAACACTGCTGATAAGAAAACTAAAAATGAGCTAACCTCAATTTCAGAGATATAAGCATCTCCTTCCGCTTCTTTAATTCTTATTGCCTCCTTGAGTTCCAGAACATCTCTGCAAAACAGATCATACAAGGGATGAAGCTGCGGAGATGATACAGAATACCAAGTCCTCATTGAACAATAAAATATCTACCGGTTCACAAACATAACATATAGTGCCAGCTGTAGGAAAATATAAAATCTCACTTAAACTACTGATCAGTAGAATTAGTTGGATAATACTCCCTCTGTTCCTAAATATAAATCTTTTTAGGATTATTGAGTTCGAATTAGGTTTTAACCTAGTTGGCCAAACAGGACAGTAAGGCACAAAATATATGTATTACTAGCTGGTGCAGGAACCAGTTGCAGGAGTTAAACTGGAACCTAGCCAGTTCTGATCTCACCTGGGCTGATTAACAGCTGCAAAAAAAAATCCAGTTTGTTTGTGCATTTTGAGCCTATGAGTTTATTAAGAATTTAGTAAATGGAATTTAGGAACAAGGTGTATATGCTCGGATTTCCAATGGAAGTTGTCATCAAGTATGGGGGGTTAAGGGAGTGTATTGGCCATTGAGCGGCAAAATGGGCGGTTTTGAAACCTAAAAAGGACTATGTTAACCGTTATTAAATAGTACTCCATACATTATTAATTGACGCTCAAACGGATGTATCTAGACGTATTTCGATGCTAGATACATCCGTTTGAACAACATCAACTAATTCCGGACGGAGAAAGTATGTATTTAACACACTCAACATTTTTCACGTCATTAATAGCAGCAACCAGGATGAAACAACTGCAATAATTAAGTTCCTGATCCCCTCAATGGAAAACTCGTTTGAAATAGCAATCCAAGTAAACTGGAGAACTATTTCAGTGCCAGTAAACTGGAGAACACATATCGAATTGTCACTAGGAGAAGATAACTGACCTTTCAGATGCATCTACATCGGTCCTTAACTCTTCCAGTTCTGCTTCAGCAATGCAAAGCCTTCTCTGGCATGCAGTTTCGGCTTCATTTGCTGCTTTTACACGAAGCTCAAGACTATGCTCCTCTAGACTAGTTCTCAAATATTCAGCCTGCTTGCGAGCTCGATTTTCTGATTCCTTGATCTCTGTAATTGTCCTAGATTCACAGAGTAAAATAAGAATCTAACAAATGAAGCAAAAATATTTAGTATGCCAAATTGATGAAAGCTGTGAATTGACAATCATTCTATGGATCGTTTTCAAAGGGGAAATCAATGGGCATTTGGTAATGGAGGAAAGCGTAGAGGTAACTAACTTATGGTTTTTTTTCCATTTTTTGAGTTCTTAGCCTATATGAACTAAGATTTTTATTCCTTGCCGTTTTGAACATTTTATTTTCAGCGATCTAAACTAGTATATTTTTCTTTCGGCATTTACAAATGTCACATAGCACCTATGTCAGCTAGTGTTAGCAGATTGCATCCAAATTAACACTCTCATCACTGTTGAAGTGTATATGTGGATTGCTTAGCCCTTTCCATCAGTTTGGACTTCTGGTTGAGTTGGCTAGTGCATGAAGCTTAACAATCACATGTTTTAACAACTTGATAGATTTAACCTGACCGCAAATTTTCATATGTAAAGTATATAGCTGAAATTGAGGATTAGAGTAAAGATGGACTTCTTTTAGGCATACAGTAGAACAGGTTTATTCAGAAGAAGAAAAATGCATTGAATGATAGTAGAACTTTAAAAAATGCATTGAACATGTGTAAGGGATGTGTCAACTTTATCTCTTGTTCCCAAGGTGTGGTAAACTGTAAATCCCAAGTAAGTAGAAAACATTTTCTAACAGAGACTTTCAAGAATCTGGTGGACTACGTGATCATCTAAGAGAACAACATAAGTCACAGTCATAAAAAATCAACACAACTGATAAGTGATAACGATAACAATCAAGTCATACCTCGACTCAGAACATTCTTTCCCATACATATCCACAATAAATTCCAACTCCTGATTTTCCTTTTCCAACGTCTCAATCTGTTGAAATTTCATTCAGAAAACATGAATGGCAATCCAGACACAGTGCAAAATTGCAAGAGCTTGGCTTCGGACCATTGAAGGGCAATACTTCCTTGTTTTTCTTAAGAAAATGGAAGATTTTTATATTTATGCTCATATATGTAACCTCTCTTAGTTGCATATTCACTACCAGATGTTTGTTTGCCCACAAATGTTTAAAATTTAAGGGCACATACTGTTAGTTGCATATTCACTACCAGATGTTTGTTTGCCCACAGTCGGAAAATAACAACAATTTCAGGTAGCTAGTTGCAAAAGCTGAATATACACCAATGCTTGAAAGACTAAGAACTAACTGTTAATCCATAATATATTTTCAGAAACCAGGTATCAAGCAAGGTCTAATCTTGACAGATCTGACCTTATTTAATGACAAGTAGAGATAACCTAATGGTGCATGCTGTCTCTTTTTAAAGAATGGCTTTGTTATAGAGCAAGGACTAAATCTTCACAGGTAGCATGTAGCCTAACGGACATGTAGACTAATCTTGACAGATCTAACCTTATTTGATCATATCTCACCCTAACGTAACTAATTTTATATTTCCTTTTATATAATTGGCTTAAGGCCCAAGCTACTTGCTCTCCAAGTTGCTCCTTTGGCCATCTATGGGGTGAGTCTACGCTAATAAGTAATAACCAATCAGATATAATTGCTTGTGTAATAACTCGAAAATTTCTCTGAGCTGAGAGAACCATGGTGGAGGGAAAAGCAAACATCTTCAGATAACGCAAATATATCTCAGGCTGTCAGCACAATTAGAAGATGAGAGATTTTCATGATACCATACCAATTCTTTGAGGGACTTGATCTCAGAGACTTGTGCGTTGTATCTATCAGATATTTCCTTCTGCTCACTGATCTGAAAATTGGAGATACTTCCGTCAGATGTTTCGATTATGCTAGAGGTCTATTCACAATTTCTCAGGTATAGTTCAGAAGATAAAACTCTACGGAAATAGTTTGTAAATAATATTGTTTGAAGATCTAACAATGATCCTAAAAACATGTAACAATGCAAGCATGTAACAGCATCAAAGTACACATGAGTATACCCTAGAGTATTGAGTTAATCCTGTTTTTTGTAAATAATCACCCAGCTTTAATAAAGCAGAGATAGCCTGAAGATAATATAACCTTTCTCTTCACTTCTCATTTTGGAGATCAGACACGGTCTCTGATACACCTAATTAACTATTACTTTTCGTATACTTTAGAGATAAAATGTTCAGAAAAATGACATAGAATAAATTTTATGACAAATATATTTTGAGTGACAAACATAAACACTTCTGCATACTATATTGGGAAAAGTAAACGTACATACAGAGGTGGTTGCTTGAGCTAGGTTTTAGATACTTGTGCATCTGGAAAACTTCTCAAAAAAGTCACATATGTGCATCTGTTAGAACATGCTATATTTTAGATTTGGTTGGTTGAAATTGAGTTGGTTATGTGCTAGCAGTCGACTATTTAAGTGATGACTTTGCTTCTTTGTAGAAGGCGATCAGTAAACAAACTTCCCTTGACCAGCTATTTTAGTGTTACTACCCCAACTGGTAACCCCTTCAATCTAATGCCATTCTACCTTAATCCATCTTATTCCATTTCCAACCCCTTGTTCAACTCAGCTCATGACACGGTAAGAATGGACTAGTTCAGGTATGTGGTGCTTGCTCTTTGTACTTAATCTATATGTCAGATATATGAATGCAGAAAATATCCTATCAGATAAAATCAATGCAAAGTGAGTAAATGTGTACAGGGATCACGATGAAGAAACATAAATGATTTATTTTTCATTACACACTGTGTGGCAATCTCACTACCAAGTACAAACATGTTAAGTTTCAGTGACATTCACAGACATGGCAACAGATGCAGACTGAGATCCAGTTTGGAAACATCAATAGATCCAGATCAATGACATACCTTCTTAGCTAACAAGGTTCTCAACGATTCAGCTTCTTCACGTAATGCAAGTGCTTCAGAAGCCGCATCCTTTGATCTATTCAATTGATTCTCCATCATTTCCATCTCTTTAGAGAGTGCTGCAGCCATGACATGAATCTCATCCTTGAAGTCTTTTTTACCTAAACAGTGGTGGAATTGAGAACAAAGTATATATTACACTGCAGAAGGAGGTAAACCCAGATCTCGATTTAGCAAGCCACTGAGTCAGGCCTCAATACCTGAATCTTGCAATGATTCCTCAACTTTGATCTCAAGATCATTCTTCTCAGCCATGGATTTCAGAATCTGATGTTCCAGTTCTTCGATTTTGGCCTCATAAGCGGTAATGGATTGTTCAATATTGTCGACGGATTCTCCTTTTGCACACATTTCTTTCTCCCTTTGCAAGAACTGGTTCTTATCATTCTAAAGTCAAAGAAAGGAAAAGCTGGTCAAGAGAAAATACCTTGCAAAACAACAGCACAACAGAGGAAAAGCATATTACCTGTAATACTTCAACCAAACCCTTGTATCGTTCTATCTCAGCATTCATATGATGTAACTTGTCGCTAAGAATTGTATATGGTTTTGATGTGAAAATATAGTTATCATCTTTTAACTGAGCCTGCACACATAGCACCAGAATGCAAATTATAGGAATAAGAAGACCCAGGATACAACTTGAAAGTACAACAAATATGTCAGCCATCCATTACAAAGAAGGTGCCAACCTGCAGATCTTCTAACTGGTTAGACAGTATTAGATTATCCTCTTGAGTCTCATGGAGTTCAAGCAGGCGGTTTCCTGCAAGGGTCTGCCCTCCATTGGACAAATTATACCATAAGATGAATGCTGAGCAGATAAGGCATATAAAAAGCATATATGCAATGGAATTCGGTCTGGTTAAAAGTACCTTAGCTTCGTCAACAGCATCTTTAAGATCTCCCCAGCCCATGTTTTCATCTGAAGATTTATCAGCCGAAACAGCACCATTCACAGCGTTTGGACCAGACATGTTCATTAGCGAACTTCCATGCCTCTGCAACTGGAGAATAACCAACTTCCGTCGACTTTCCTCAAGCTCTGCCATGGTTTCCTCTAGCTCTCCTGCATAAGCACATGAATATGGATTGCCTTGCTTTAGAATCAAAGCTTGACCAGTTTTATAGCTCAAAATTTGGAAGCACTGAACAAGATAAGGTTTTTTTTTGTTTTTTTTTTGGCAAGGGTCTGTTAACATATCTTAGTACATTTCTTCCAATTGTATTGGCAGCAAGTTTTAGCACAATTAATCCCACAAATTATTTCCGTATGAAATATGCAAACTGTGATGCAAGGTCAATCTTGTCAAGAATGCAAAGCCGAGTTTGTTATGAAAAGGGGCAGCTTTAAAGAAAAAGGGACCAGCCAGGACTATAGTCCTTGGCGGCATTCTTTAATAGAAGAGGCAACCTTAAGCACCATGCGTGCGAGCCGAGACTCGAATGTGGTTGGGCTGGCTGCGCATCTGCGCGCCTTGCCAACAGAACAGTGCTTTGTTCTAAAAAAAGGGGGGCGGGGACAACTTTTAATCATCCAGATGACAGAAGGAAATGGTATGTTTTAAAATTAAGCCAAATGCATTAGCGTATTCTTACCTGATTCCGATTTGCTGTTCGGCTTCACGATTCGCTACCTCAGCCCGTATCGGGTTCAATAGGCATTGTACATCTCCGATTTACGAATCGGAGAATGGGTTCGGCAAACCAGAGATTGGGGTTCGGCGAATCTAAGGTCGCGTTTGGCGAATCAGAGATCGGGATTTGGCGAATCAAAGGTCAGGTTTGGCAGATCTCAAATCAGAGATTGGGGTTCGGCGAATCGAAGGTCGGGTTCGGCAAATCAGAGATCAGGGTTCGGCAAATCGAAGGTTGGGGTTCGTGAACAATAGATCTTAGGCACAAACACTAAAGTAGCACATGGTTCTGCACACAGAAGCATTGGAAAATAGGCAAAGCAAGAAACGGGCCTAGTCAGCCCACACAGCCCATAAACGATCCTGGGTCCCAACTACCAACTCCCATCCCTAATAAGCATCATGACTGCCTACCCTACCGAGCATGGAGCGCCACCCCTCCAGTTTGTTTGATCTGCTTGCAAAAAGCTTTCCTTAGGGATTCTATCGACTCCATCTCCCTCACCTCATCCACACATGGTTCACGGCTATGGCTGCAGCCGCAGCCCATACCATGTCAACCTACTCGAGAGCACCCAATGGTGTCAACTCGATCTACTCGACATGAGATAGCTGCATTGCAATTCCTTCCATTTTTCTCTCAATCTCCTTGGTCGGAATCTAATGGTCCACCTGAATGATCGGTCACCACATCCTTACCGATTGGCACCGAACTCGAACCCCAATCGAGATTGGGGTTTTGGGGTTCGGAGGGTGGTTTAGTGAATCTGGTAACTACGGAGAAGATAATAACTGTGAATGCCCAGATATGCACACGAGATAAAAGAATTTAACAAATATATCAAATGAGGAAAGGAGTGACATTTTTTAACACCTGAAAGATGCTTGATTTCCTGCAATTCTTTTGAGTAGCTGCTTTTGAAAGCCTCAATCTCATCCAGATACCTTTTATGCTTCCCATTGACGATAGAAATAGCTTCACGGACATTGCCAACCACCTCTTTCAAGTGATCATTGTGGTTTTGGAGGGCAACAACAACATCTAAATTAAATAATGAAAGTTCAAGCAGATGGGTGGTTAGCAAATAATAAAGGTGCACTGAAAAAAATGGAGGGGAAAAGCCAGATATTACTTTTTGTCTTTACCTTCATTTGACTTCTCTCCATTTAAAGCTAATGACAAATATTCACTTCTAGCCTGTTGTGCAGCAATAGCCTCTTGAAGGGACCTCATCAGAGCAAGAGTTGCCGAACGGCGCAAAGCAAGAGCTTCTTCAGCGAATTCCAACAAGCTATTGTCGTCCTTTTTTCCATAATTGTTGGACTTCAAGAGCATGAAGAGAAAAATTTCCTCAGAAGGACATGACTCGATAGATTCTGAGCAACAAAAAAGAAAATACAATCAGCTAAGGCAACATGGCTACTGAAACAAAAAAGCACATCTCAGAAAGCAACATTGAACAGTTAAACAAATAAGCCAGCAACCTTCTGACAACTCTTCATGGTCAAGTGCAGGCAAATTATTCAAACCGCCACCAAATCGAACTCCAAGCAAGATTAAATCATCAACAAGCTATAATTAACATATATTAGTAAGAAGCATTACGAATCGGAAAAGAACCATAAAATAGAGTTTACACAGCTCAGAGGAAAGAACCTGATTCCACATCTTATCCAGGGAAATCAAAGTATTGTCATAAGAAGATTGTTCATTCCTCAACTCCTTGAACTTAGCTTCCAACACATGCATTTCAGACTTCTGTGCTTCCAATTGCTGCACCAACTTCTGGTTTTCATAATGAAGGGCTGTGGCATCCATCTTTTTTAAATAAATAAAAAACAGAAAGTTAGGTCCCACAACAGGGCACCAAAAAATTAACAGGTTTGCAACCAGATTAATGTCCACTAACCAAACTTTCCAAACTAATTGACCAATCTTATAGATGCAAGTATTCAGTCAGTCTTGTCGGTCTGCTAAAATTCCGAACCAGATTGTTAGTTGTAACACAAATTTAACTTCTAAATGTACTAAATAACTTCAAAATAAAAATGTATCAAAGTTATAGAACAAAAAAAAATGTTAAACTGGGACACCCCCTACAGGTCAAAATTAAGAATGTACAGAGAAATAGAGGTAGTATGCCTGATCACAGCTTTATTTAATAAGCTTTTGCTATGCATACTATGTTATTATGTTGACTAATGTTTTGCTCCATTCCAGTTTGAGGAACTGTGGATAGTATCATTGAGACCATGGTATGAAGCTCGGTTATTGGAGACAACAATCCGAGCAGCCATTTAATACTAGCATATAATGGATATGGATTAATGGAAAAAGCTTTGAATTTCGGGAACCAGTTATTGGAGACAACAACAGGTTCCCTAAAATTGCCCAGTGGGACAAGCAGTATGGTGAATGGCAGCATCGAAAAACTAGTCGCACATGCCACATAACATATATTTCCATCTAGATGAATTGGGGAGAAAGGCGAGCAGAAACTTGAATGGACAGACATGGGGGGAGAGAGGCCCGGGAGCAGAAGCGGGGAGCAGCAGAGGGGGGTGGCGTCGAGAAGAAACAGGAGCAGACGCGCGTGTGTGGCGGGGAGTTGCCCGGGAGCAGAAGCAGGGAGCAGCAGGATGGGGGGGCGGGGAGGGGGGGACGGCGCAGGGTGGTCAGAGCATGGGATGAAGAGGCGCAGCAGGCCTAGAGGGGCGGCGCAGCTCGTCGGAGAAGGGGGCAGGGAGGAGAGCTTACCTGAAGGTCTCCGCCGCCGTGAAGGGGGAGGCCGCCGCCGCCGCCGTCGTCCGGTTCTTGGAGTACTTGGGTGTGGGTGGTCTTTTTTCCTTTTCTTTTTCTTTTTTTGAGGTGAGGGGGTGTGGATCTCGGGCACTGGGCAGAAATTGCTGGTTCCTGTTCATGGGCTAGCTAGTGGGCTGTTGGCCTGCTGCCGATGGACTGGACCTGTTAGCGTATCTGCCATATGCCCATATATGATTTTTTTTTGTTCTATAAAAAATATGTTTTTTTTAATTCTCAATATATATGTATATATAATTTATTTTGCAGAAAATTTTGGGTGTACATCTGTACACCCATGACCTATGCTGGATCCGCCCTTGTGTGCAAACAGTTAGTTCCTCGGTGAAGTTTAATGGGAAGTTATCAGACCGTTTTTCTCCCTCACGAGAACTCCGCCAAGGTGACCCATTAAAACCATTTTTATTCATATTTGTGGTTGATTCCTTGTCGTCTTTGATTCTTGATGTCATTGAAACAACAGGGCTTATATCGGTTGCTAATATCTCATCTCTTGTTTGGTGATGATACATTGCTATTTTTTTAAGGTTCTGAGGTACAGGCGAACATTGTAAGTGATGTGATGCATAGGTATGAACGTGGGACAGGCCAACTAATAAACCAGGAAAAGTGCAGCATATTGTTTGGAGAACCTTGCCCTTGGTAGTACAGGAGGTGGTTAAAAATGTGTTGCATATTGGGTGGCAGGATTTCGAG